AAATGCAAAAATGGTTGAAAAAATGTTTTTAATATTTTTTATATTTTGGCAAAAAATAATAAGTCAGAAACAAAAACAAAAAGTCAAAAAATGATAAAAATAAACACAATGGGCCAAGGGTGTGTGTGTGAAATAAAGTGGTGCAAATAGAAAAAGCAATCTCAGGCCCAACCCAAGAGGGGTTGTCTTCAACCTCCAGCAACCTTCCAAACAAAAAACGCGTGCTTCCTGCTATCTCATGATTCTTTGACATTCAGCAAAAACTTACAACAACAATGTTATAGAGCATCTTGTCACGATTCCAAACATATAAAAAAGTCATTCTAACTCTCAGAAATGAGGGAGAATTTCTTCTCCCCCAATTCCTGACCTAGCTTTTTTCAGATATTCAGTTTCAAAATTCTCTCAGTGTACACAATATAAATGAAAAGTAACTATATGGATGGCTTCAGGGCTATGATTAGAACATGCTTTCTTCACAAACTTAAGCCTAACTATGCCTGGATAGAGAGATAGAAGTTCAAAAACTTACCTGTTCAGCTTGACACGTGTGCAACAATGGAAGTACTTTCAATGCAATGTGAGGACTTGTATAGCTTTCTTGAGGTCCAGGGATGCTTCTTCAACCTTTAGCTTACTTTGGAACTAGCTGAAACGAGCTATGGAAGTTAACCTGCACAACTGAAAAAATGAAAATGGTGAAGTTGGTTAGAGGTGTTACAGTCCCAGTTCAATGCTTGGAATAGTTTGTATGGAGGTTATGGAGTGTGTATGAACTGGTTTTGGCCAAGGCGCATGAGTGGATTGAGTTGTGGACCTCAATCTGCAGCAGGTGCCATGTTTTGTGCAGCAAAGTGGTGTTTCTGTGTTTGGGGAGGTATTGAAGGTGGTTGGCTCGTGTTTCAGGTCAGGTTTGATGTTTGGAATGTGCTCAACAAGTTTGCTTAGGCTTGTGTTGACAGGAATGTGAGTTGTGTTATGTTTGCAAAGTTGCTTCTATCTTAAGTCAAAAATGGCAACTTGAGTTACAAGCTTATGCAAGCCCCCTAAACATGCTGCAAAGTTAGTCTTGATCAGTGGGATTCGTTCAATAACTTGTGCCTCAGAGATTTGCATTGTACTTCTTGGATTTGTGTTTGACATAAAGTCATGCTTTACAAGAATGGATAACTTGCTTTTTCCAAATATGGCTTAATTCTTCATGTAATGACCAAATGCACAAAATAACATCTTGGCACAATGGATTAACATTTAATTATTGAGTGAAAGAAGGATTAGAGGCCTGTAATCTAGCTTGTACAAGCTGATTTCAAAAATGCATAGTGTATGAACATGCCTTTGGCCATGAATCAAAGTGACTTTTGCCCATATTGACAAATTCGATTCTCCCTAACCACAAGGGTGTTTGAGAAGTTCTTGGACAATTTGGAAAGCTTTGAATGTGTACTATAATCTATATTTGTAATGCAAGTTGAAATTCCAAGTGGAAGCATGTGAAAAGTGGCCATGAAGTTAGGCAAAAATCCTGCCTAGAATAGGTCAAAATTTTTCTAAGTTAAGAATGTTTTGCACCCTTGTTCCAAAAATCATAACTTGAGCTACAAGCTTCTTTTGAGGAAACTTTGTGAATCAAAGTTGTAGATTTTTCAATGGAATATAACTTTCATGTTTTGAGTTTTGTTTGAATCCAAATGCATCTTGATGAAAAGATGGGACAAAGTTAGAAAAAAATTAGGAATTTTCATAACTTAGAAAATTTCTAAGTTATGAAAATTCTTCATTTTAAACCCTAATTTGTAATTTTTGATTTCTTGATGAAAAAGTTTCATAATTTGACATGTCTTGATGAAAAATGAATCTTGGCATTTGATTTTGACCAAAAAGTCAAAGTTTGACTTTTCAGTATACAGTCAAATTTTGCTCAGTTGACTGGAAAATTCATCTGTCAATCTTGTGCATTTGGGATCTTTTGAACTTGTTGAACATGTCAAGACAATTCCATTGAGTCCTTGAGTCCATATGTGAGCTTGGTTTGCCATTGGCTAGGTCAAACAGTCAAAAATTGCCTTTGTGCAGTCAAAACCCTAAAAATGACCATTTTGCCCTTTTGGTGATCTGATCAAATTTCTTGTGGAATTGTGATCCAAACTTGACCAAATGGTTCATGAGTTCATAATGTTGATGTTGGTCAAAAATCATGAGGTTTGACTGTCAATTGACCACAGTTGACTTTTTCCTCAATACAACTGATTTCTAGGTCAACTGTCCAATTGACTGGGCAAAGATTGGAATCAAGACTTGAAACTTGGTATGGATAAACTTGTGAGTCCAACATGAAACATGAAAGTCACTTTGGGTCTTTTAGGTCAAAACATCTTTGTGCAAACTCAAACCCTAATTTGGGTCAACAGTGCAAGGAGAAGTCTTGAGCAGAGTAAAACCCTAACTTGATCTTGAGCTCCAAGGGTCTTGTGGTGAGAAAATATTGAGGAAATGGGAGGGAAAATTTTGGGATACAACACAATTTGATTAGGAAATTATGCTATTTAAATAGGTTAGAATTAAGTTAGAGACTTATCTTAATTAATTAGTTTAGGAAGGTTTTTATTTGTTTTGAAACTGTTTTAAATTGATTTTGATTTTGTTTCAATCTTAAAGATTATGATTAGTTCAATTTAAATGACATTAGAAGATTTTATATAATTAATTTTGTGATAAAAAATTGATTTTATTTTCAATTATGTGTTTGAATACTTCTCTTTATTTATAATGATAAATAAAAAAACACTTGTAGTATCAAAATTGAAGTAACACATCATGACATTATTTTTCACCTGCAGTATATACATTATTTTTCTTAATTGTATTTTTAAAATTTTCAATTAAAGTAGATTCCATGTGGATGAGAAGGGGACTATGAAATATGTTGGTGAGTATTTCTTGAAGAGATATGTATTCAATAATACATTTTTTTTTTCTTTCTAATAAATATTTATTGGGTACTACTTGCATACCATATGTATTTTTAGTGGTATAAAAATATATTTTATAAATTATTTTATACATAAATTATTTTTAAATGATATTATATTTTTTGACTGAAAATTAAATTCAAAATATAAATTAATTTTACACATTTCTCTAATCATATATATTTTTAGGCTAAACTACATTTTTAGTCCCCTATTTTGTCTGATTCACGAAATTAGTCGCTCTATTTTAAATTCAAATAATTTTAGTTTCTCTATTTTAAATTCAAACAATTTTAGTTCCCTGTCATATTTTTTTTATAGAAAATCGATGAGATTTTTTGTTTTTTAACTTATATTTTTATCTATAAAGTTCAATAATAGATTTATATACGACGATTTATCATATTTTACAAGTAATTTGTCATTTAAAAATGAAAGTATCGTTAATTTTAAGTGTAAAAGTATGAGAGGAAATCAAAATTGTTTAAATCTAAAATAGGGGGACCAAAACTATTTAAATTTAAAATAGAGAAATCAATTTCATAAATCAGGGAAAATACAGAGACCAAAAATGTAATTAAGCTTATTTTTTAATTAGGATAATTTAAAAAATAATGACATTTCATTCAAAAATAATAAAATATAATAAAAAGTGATACCAAAATATATTTAAAATAGGTTTAATCAATGTTTTTCCAAAATACTTGGTTTATCTAAAATATAAAAAAAACTGTATTACAAATTTAATCTCTAATTTTATTTGATTCAAGAAAATAGTCTATCTATTTTAAATTTAAAAAGTTTTGATCCGCTCTCACGCTTTTAATAAAAATTTGATGATAGTTTTTTATTTTTTAACTAATATTTTTACAATAAATTTATATATGATTTTTTTTAAGATTGTTATTGAAGATTAGATTATATGTTTGATTTTAATCTTCATGTTGAATTTGCATGAACATATTTACATAGTTTATTAATTTTTGATGTGATACTGTCATACATTTTAGTTTTATAAAATTTGTAAATATGATCTAATAAGAAAGTTTTAAAATTGAAATGGCTTAATTACAACTTTGGTCCTTCTATTTTGTATTTTTTTATATTTTGGTCCCTCTATTTTAAAAACCACTATTTTACTCTCATTTTTAGGTTTTTTGTACAATTTTCGTCATTTTATTTTGCTTTTTTCTACAATTTTAGTCCCTATTTCTGTTCATTTTTCAACCGAAAATTCAAAAGGGGTCAAAATCGTGGTTTTTAAAATGGAGGATCAAAATCGAAAAAAATACAAAATAGAGAGATCAAAGTTGCAATTAAGTCAATTGAAATTTAACGATGAACTGTCATACATAGTAGGTTGTAAAAAAATATAAATATGATATAATAAGAAAGTTTTAAAACTGAAATCTGACGAATTTGACGGGAAATTATCATACATTTAGGTTAATATTTAAAATAAGTTTAATAAATTTTTAGAATTAACTCATTTGAATTCAACTGAGGTTTGTTAACTCATCTGAATTCACAGGTAGATGTAAATGATATTTACGAGATATTAGTTATTGACTGATCATTTTAATGATTATCTTTTAACTATTTCTTTTGTTATTGTTTTATATAATTAAAATTATAAAACAATTGTACGATTTATTATAAATATGAATCAATACTTAAAAGAAATTAAAAAATAAATTATATTATGTTTGAGTTTTCAAACACATAAATTAAAATTTAATAAATAATTATAAATCATAACTTTACTGTTATCTAAATAAAAATATTATTTGATATTTAACAATTTAGTCATTAGTAATGAAGTTTTTTTACTTGCATAAATAAATAAAAAAGGGAAAAAACTAGTACAATATTACGATGGACATAATGGACATTTCCCTTTAACACCTTGCTAGGGTTTCACAATCTTATACATAAACCATTCATTCATCTCGTATTGCCGTCACCACTCTCTAAGCGCGACTTCAATTTCCAGTTAGGTTTTCGCTTTCAGAGGAGAAAAGAGCAGCCATGGGAGTTTTTACCTTCGTCCTCAACAAAACTGGCGCTGAATGGAGCGCAAAGCAACACTCTGGTGACATCGAGGCCTCCGCCGCCTCTACCTTCGAGATCCAACGCCAGCTTGTTAAGGCTGCTCTCGCAGTTGATTCATCTGGCGGCGTTCGCTCCTCTTACTCTCCGGTTTCTCCCTCATCTGCCGTCTTCCAGGTACATATCATTCCTCCGGATTTTGATCTCAGATGAAAATCAGTAGTTGTTTATTATTACTCGTCATGTTATATATATTCTGTGATCTAGAATTTGTGTGTAGTGATTAAATTTTGTTTAGGTTTTTGTTATGTTTCTGAATCTGAGAAATTGCCAGTTTGATTTGTTGTCAATTGTGAGATTATTCTGATCAATCAAAGCTATGTCTTTGTTGTTTTATGTTTTTCATTGTATTTTTCAATATGCTGCTTTGAGTTGAAGAGATTGAATAGACTTTGGAGGAGTGGATCGAATAACCTAATATTGTGTTTTCTCGGGGATGATTTGGTTACTTGGTTCGACAATTATATGGATCGCTGTTCTAGTTACTAATTGTCTTTTTTGGTTATTTTGTTTAGGTGATAGTTGGTGGTGCTGTAATTGTTGGAGGTGGTGCTGCTGCAGCTGCTCCCGCAGGAGGTGCTGCCCCAGCTGCCGCTGCTGCTCCGGCAGCCTCAAAGAAAGAAGAGAAGGTAGAGGAAGAGGAGGAAGATGACGATATGGGTTTCTCCCTATTTGATTAGAGTTTTAGTTTTTGTTCAATTTTTGATGCAAAAGAGATTTTGTCTTGGATTATATGAATTGTATTTGTCTACTGGTTTGCACTTGCTTATGGTACAATTGGTCGGATAGAGTTTTGTGCTTCTGGATTCTGTTTTACTGATGCAACTTTTTTTTAAAAAGTGTCTTTACTTATTTGGCAATTCGATCATGTTTATACATACTCATGTCATTGATTACACTCATGTCATTGATTACACGGTTCTGTGAAATACTTTATTTCAAGCCGCACATCAGTTGTGTTTATGCTTGACTTTTGTGCAACACTAAGTTTTAGAATGTGCGTGTGTGCCATGGGGTGCAATGAGATTTTTTTCCATAATCATTTTCAGAGATGCATTTCTAGCAATTCACAAGAACCATTTTGACAGAGATGCGTTTTCCAAGTACCCATTAGTTAAATATCTTTCTCCATGTCCTATTAGTCTGCTCAAATGTCCTCTCCCTCCCTCCCCTGTTGTAAAGTTTATTTCTCCTCTCCTATTCTTGTTCCACTCCCTAACGTCTTGAAGTTGTTGCCGGTACATACTTGATGGTTCTGTTTGGTAAAAGGTAGTTGATATAAAATTGATAATTCTTAACAATTAATTGAAGTGTTTGATAAGTTAACAATTTCATAAGTTCATAAATGAAAAATGACACAGATTTTTAGTTAGTAACTTAAGGGGTCTATTATCATTTATATACTGTTATTAAGTTATTTTCTATTCAATAAAATTAAATGTAATTGTTCTGTATTATAATCATAATTGTTGTTTAGTAATGACATATGACTTTGGAATTGGTGACACTGATCTCCGGTACAATGGTGTGTGGTGGACATGCAATGTGTGGTGGACATGCAAGATGAGTTCAAGATCAAGATGAGTATAACAAAAAATGGAGATTATAAAAATGTATCTTGAATTTCACGTGTGTTTACTATATACATTGGATAATCTTGATAGAGCCTGTGCATGGCCTTTGGATGATCCATAAAAGTTACCCCAAAGGCTTGTCAGACACTTACCAACAAGAAAGTCTTTTAAAGTTGTGGCCGGTCTTTGGCTATCTCATCAGACCAAAGTGAAAAGTAGGACGATCGTGGAGTAGTTACAAAAAAGTAACAAGGAACAAGCACATTAAATAATTTTCCATCATTGATATGTTTCGTCAATCCCCTCAGGCGTGTGGCCCTAGGTCCGCAGGTTAGGCCGTGGTTCCAATACCTAGGATGCCCGAGTGCGTTTGAATTATTTATATTCTCAAGGAACGGATCCACAACCCTTAGATTTCCCATCAACTTCTGATATGGATTGTTGGTTCACTATTGATTTCATTATAAAAGGCTAGCTCTTTTTCAAACCCCTCTTTTGCTTCATTTATCTTTCGGAATCTACTTCCCCTCTCGAGTTCATTCTTCTCTTGGCATGTTCCGACAACTTTAACATTTCGCTGTCTCTTCGTTTGAGGGTCATTCTTTCTCTAATGTCTTCTCTTTTCAAGGTACGCCATCATAATCTATCTAAGTGTTGTTATGGTTAACTTGGGAAGTGTGTCCATAAACAATGCTCTTGGACTTGTTAGCGATGCGTCTTCATCATTTGTTGGAGTTCATAATCCATAACTCGTGGACATATTCTCCGGGGTGGACTCTCTCATTCTTGCGCATAATGTACCTAGTCGTAGCTCTGGGCCAGGGTTGGATTCTTCAAGTGACGAGGATGATCCGTCGATGGGGGGAAGTTACCGACAAAATTATTTAGATTGGGTTGAACGAAAGCATAAAAAAATAAATTTTCTATAGAAGCTCATATTCACAAAGTGAGTTAGAGTGAGATTTTTTTCTAGCAAGGTTTTGAGAAACTTTTCTGGTTACTCTTGAGAGGAGAAGTAGGTTGGATCTGAGAAAAGTCCAGAGGTTCGGGTGTCATTACGGCAATGAAGATGAAGACACAAGAGTTTCGTAAAAATAACAGAGAATGCAAGCATGCAAACACAAGAGCAAAAGCTAAAGATGAAGAGAATTATTGAGAAAAGGATGAGAAGAATGAGGAACATGTTACTGCCTTTATAGGATAATTTTAATCGATTAAAAGAGTTTTAATTGACTCATGCATTAATGTCAATCAATTATGATTTATTGACTAAGGCGGCGTGCAACTCTAGATTTTTATAATATATTAATCTTTTAGGTTTAATTGATTTCTTGACACAAATTTTGAAATTCAAAAAGGCTTAATCGATTAACCTTAGACAATAATCAATGAGTAGATTGATTTTTAGCTCCCTTGGTTTGTTTGGTCCTTAAGAGACTTTGGACACATAATCCTTTTTGAACATCCTCATTGTTTGTTTTTACCACCCCTTTATCTACAAAATTCATTTCTCAAGCAATTTGATTAGATTAAATAATCCAACTAGGCAATTATATAAGTGTTTATTAGATAAATAATTGAAGTTTTTCTACTTTTCTTTTATACCAAATAGTTTACCTTAAAACCTCATACACTTTTGAGGATAGATTTCTCCCCCTTTTGACAGATATGGAAACAAGCATGCAGCTCTTTAAATCATTTGATACGAGATTTGATCTAAAGGAACCATTTTCTCTTTGGTCGTATATCTTCCAAGTAATCATTCCAAATAATTCCTCAAACATCAAAATAAATTTCTTATAAGAATATTGGAACTCTTGCTATGTATGAGTTTTCTTGATTTTCTTTTTGGTTCTTGAAACTGCAAAGCATCCATACAAAATCAATCAATTTTTCACATTTGGTACCCAAATAGTTTTTTACCCTTTAGGGTTAGTGGATTTTATATGTCTTGAGTTATACCCTTTATACCACCTTAAATCATTCATTTTATATAAATAGAAAGGTTCAAGAAAACCATACCTATGACATAAATTTCATTTATACACATAATGATTGACCTTCTATTTTAAGAAGCCCTTTTATTTGGCAAAATTAGGTCTAGATTTTATTTACCTTTGACAAAATTTCTTAAGGTCTCGTACAACTTTTCATTCTAATTTTTCAATGAATCACAAGTTGCATGTACCAGAATTTCAATTGGTATCAGAGTAGGTGCCCTGGTTTATTGGGTGAGCTTCAAGGAATATTTTTTTGGTACTACTTTTTATTTTGTTGGAAGGCTGGAATGAGAGCATTATGGTTATCAGTGGACAACAGGTCTTGAAGAATTATCAGAATAGGAGAATCATGGTGCTAGAGAGATAGAAGGGAAGGGGTTGAGTTGACTCTTTGTCACTCTGAATTGGTAAGCACTATGTATCACTTGTATTATGGCCAAAGATACTTGAGAATTTCTTAAGTTCACTCATAAAGGCACATATAAGTGTATTATGGAGAAAAGAGTTCAGATGAGAGGCTGGTCAAGAAGAAGATACTATGGTCTCTACTAAAGAGGTTTGACATGAAAGTGACAAGCCATTGAAGAATAACAAGAGAATTATTTTTCTTTCCAACTTTTAGGATCTTATGTTCTTGTCTCTAATGAAGGGTTTCTTATTACTATTGTGTTCCTTATAAGGCAATCCAATCAAGTGTTGAAGAGATTGGACAAAATGTCTAGACCAAATGTCCAGAACATCTGTACTGACTTCAACAAGTCTGTGATGCTCAAGAAAAGGTTGGAACCAGAGTATAGATCAATCAATGTCAAAGCATTCATAAGAGTGTGAAGACCTTGGATCTTTGTGGAGTAGACTGCCCTACTTATCTAGAAAATAACTGTATGGGTTTTCTATTTATTGGTTTATTCAGGAAAATGATCATGATTATGAATTTTCCAAGGATCTTACTAGTTTGACTAGAAGATGGATTTCTGATGAAGATTTTTGTTTTGAAGAATTGTCTCATGATGTGTTGGTTGTTTTATTCAAAGATCTGTGTATCTAGAATGAAAAAGGGGTTGTCAACCATGAATAAATACGAGGTGACTTATTTTTGATCTTATTCTTAAGAGAACGAATGATTGTCAACCATCTATGACTTGTAGGGTGAAGTGACTCTATTAATACTAAAACTTGATATCTTGATCAAGTCTGTAAGGATAGTTCAGGACAAATTAGAGAGGTTTATTCTAATGTAAAGATGATTGTAAGTCTAAGGATGATAGGGTTTTCAAGCTATAATTAGCAAAGAGAGAGCTCAAGTGAAAAAGGTTATTTTTATCAAAAGGAAAATTGAGTCAAGGATGTCAGTCTTAATCTCTCAACGTTGTGCTAGACATCAAAATACTCAAGCTAAAGGCATATACTTGAACCAAAGATGTCTCTTATGTGAAAAGTTGATCTTAAAAAGTTTATTTTCTTCCTCAAAGGCCAAGTTCATCACGGGTTAACCAAGCAGTGGTTAAAACTCAGGGAAGGTGTTAATTGCATCATTTCTCATACATTTCTTAGACTTTCAACTAAGATGATTGATATTTTGGCACTGACTATTTCAGAAACTTGACCGCAGTAAAAGTGTTTCTGGTGGTTTGTTTAAGTCTCATTTTAATCAACATTTCCTTTTATTGTTTATGCTAAAAGGGAAGTTTAAGGGAATTACGTATCTAAAGAATACAATATGGAGTATCTAAGTTTTGGTAATGGTCTTCTTACTAAAGGACTGATGATTTTTTTGTTAAACATAACTCAGTGTACAATTGACTTTTGATCAGTTGACTGCAAACTTCATCTGTCAATCCAATGAATTTGAGATGTTTTGAGCCATGTAGTTAAGTCAAGATTATGCAATTGAATCCTTGAAATCATGCCTTAACTCAATTTGTCATTTTCTAGGTTAAAAAATCAGAAATTGCCCTTCCTCAGTCAAAACCCTAATTTTGACCATTTTGCCCTTTTTGTGATTTGACCAAATTTCTTGAGGAGCTGTGGTCCAAACTTGATCAAATGATACATATAAGTTTAAAATGTTGACGTGGATCAAAAATTATGAAGTTTGACTGTAAA